CTATGAGCTTACGCTCTGTAACTTGATAGAAAGCGACATCTAAATAGTAGCTCTGAGCTCGTGTGCTCCTAGCAGAGGATTTTTGTGAGCCAAACTATTTTTGTTTTAAAGCACTGATCCCATTTCCTTGTTCTTAAGCAGCTTCAATCCATCTTACTGCATTACAGAAACGGTGTTGATTGTTCTACTGTATTGAATAATAACAATTTGTACTTTAAAGATTACCCCAGAGAACTATATTCATGGCTTAGCTGTACCACACTTTCCTGAACGCAAAGAGACCTTGGGGTAACTTGATTTGTTACAGTGCATAAAAACTTTTCGTGGCGGTGTGGATGATGCCAAGAAGTAGGAGTGGACCAAAAAGTTGGGAATTTGAACATGCAGAAAAAGAGGAGAGAAAGAGTGTAGATTGGCTAAAGGTAAAAAGACGTGGCTCTGGAAATTCAGGAACAGGGTGGCAGGGAGGGAGATGTCCCTGGAAAAAGAAAAGGGTTTAAGAAATGGAGTTTTTAAGGAATGGGGAGACGGAGGAGAGAGAAACAAGCCCTGGGGGCATTTAGAGGAAAGGGGAAAATGCCAGCTGCATCTCTCAGGGTACCCTAACGCCAATGCTTCCTTCTCTTCCTACCTCTAATTCTCCTGGCAACATTAGTTTTTAGTAAAACGGAATAACGTTGTTGGGCCCAGCAGTGCCTGTTGCTTCAGTCCTTCAGAGAGCCTCGGCAGATGCTTTCCAAAGGTAAAATTGAGGGTGGCTGTGCTGTGCCCTAAGATAAGCTTCATTCCTTCAAAGCATACAAGGCCGGGGGTTGTCTCCCCGATTCATCTAAGCAGCAGTGACATTTCATTAAGAAAAAAAAAAATCAAAGGTTCTAATGTCCCATTTTGGTATTTATGGAGTGAAAAGTTTGATTTTTCTTGTTTCATTTTATGTGCCTGGTGTTAGAAACTTGCTATATCAGAAATAAGGTGTTGGAATCAATACATTGAGAACACTTCAAAGTGAAGTGCTTTGACCTGACATAATATCTTGTGTTTTGCAAAAAAAAAAACAAACAGACCCAAAAACTTTACCTTTTTCCTTTCTTCTCAATGTGAAAAAAGGAGCAATTCTGAAATCCTACTTTTCTTCCCCGAGAGGATGGACTATCCATTTTCCAAGTAGCCAGTGAGAGGGAATGGTGCAAAGAGGCATCCTTCCAGAAGGGATGAGTAGAAAAGACAGCTATGATTCTGTTTTCTGTTTGATTTGCAAGACAGTAAAACGTGTTGTTCTGCTTCCCGTTGCAATCAACGGCAAAGTAGGATGTTCTGGACTCGAGCAGCAAAACCCAGCTTGCACTATGGTGGAAGGGGGGTGCAGGCGCACCACCTTCTATCTGACAGCACGGACTGAGTAGCAGAGATGCTGGTTCTGTGGCCCAAGCTAATTCCATCCGCCTTCCTCTCCGAGATGGATATTGGAGATCAAAGGTAAAATTTTATGCTGGTGTAATTCCATTGATGTCAATAGAGTTCTGCCTGCAGGGAATTTGGCTCATTCCCTTTAATTACAGTAGATATTAAACTTCACTCTTCACGCTTGAAATTCACCCCTATACTTTAGCCAGCACAAGGCCTATATTTCATTTAAGTCCCACTTAAACCTTCAAAGCAGTGTTTTAAGTATTGCCTAGGCCTAGTGCTGACTCTTAGCACAGGGTGATGTCACCCTCCCTGGAAGGTTGCACTTAGGTAGCTGATTAGTCCAGGTGTAGCCTTAATTGCTCCCCGTGATCTACAGTGCTGATACTTTGCTGGTTGTGGAAGTGTAATAGTTCTCCTCACCGGGTCAGCGGCTGTTTCACAGTGGGTCACAGTCTGGTAAAACTCCTAGCAATGTAATACAATCTGCAACCAAAAAAAGCCCTGCAATAAAACGGTGCGTAGGAAACTACAAAGAGCCCTCTGACAAATGAGATCCGTAAGTCATTCTTCGGTTCTGAGCTGGGATCTGCTTATTGCTTAATAGAGTGTGGGCAGCGAAGCTCGGTTTACGGGAGCAGGGAGGAGGTGAAAGGCAGGAGGAGGTGTCTCTGATAGCCCATTTAAAAAAAAGTGGGGGAGCATTTTGGGGAACTGCTCTAAGCAGATGCCCCTGGTGTAGCAGAATGATTGATGGAGCATAAACTGAGATGGTGGCCCTGGCTGGTCCTTACGCACCTGTAGCTCGAAGTAGCTCTAGCGCTTCTCTTGATTGGCCTGATCTGACAGTATGCCTGCAAAATCTTGCTCTCCAGTCACAGGCTTCTGATCAGTCCCCATCTATATCTTGCTTCCTTAATTGAACCCTTTTAACTAAAGTGTTTCTGCTGGTTTCCCTTTCAACTTCTCCTCCTGTTTTGGACTCCTCTAGCTGTGCTCCTCATTAGAGACTTGGAGACTTCTGAAAGAGTCGTCTCCCTCTCTTTCCTGTCCCTGATCACACAGAAATCTCCATGCAGTTCTTCTGTTCTGGGCCCGTGTCTAAAGCACGGCGTAGTTTTTTGGTACAAGAGATGTTAGAAGTTAGTTATGTATGGAGGTAACAGTGGTCTTTATCTTCTGCTTAGTTCGGCGCTCAGTTTTTATGGTGAGATGGAGACCTTTCCCTGACGATTCCTTTGCTCTTTCGTTTAGCCCTGTGGCTTGCAGACGATTAAATACATTTCCATTACATCTCAATTGCACCAAGACAGCAGACGGCAGGGACCACCGGATGGTACTTCAGCAGCTGCTGCCTCGTATAAGCCTTTTGCCATCCTAGGCAACTTGCCCCTCCTTTTCCAAACCTCATCTAACCATGCTTTTCCAGTTCTGCTCCCAATCCACAATCACAGGCCAAACCAAAACATTTGCAGAACTGTTTCACTGAGACACAGCCCAGATTTCCAGGAGTATAAATCTGCCTAGCCTCCATCCAATAGATTGGAGTTGCACTCATTCACCCCACCTTGGGACCTAGCCTGTCAGGTGCGCTCCCTGATGCCACAGCTCTGTGGCTTTGTCCTAAAAGGGGGTTGCAGCAAACGCAGCAATGGGGTAGAGGTTAATGATAATCGTGCGCAGCACATTAAATGCACATCCCACCCCAGCAAAGCCTAACATTAATGCTTGGTGAAACCTGGTAAATCTGACAGCTTCAGGTCACACCATGCTATCTATGGCCAAGCTCTCAGACTTCATGGCAGTAACTTTTGATAACACCGAACACAGTAAAGGACCAGTCTTTTTCTCTCATTTGGATCCTCCATCTTTTCTTTTTTTCCCAAGCAGTGTTTTGAGGATGTGTAGGGTTGACCCATGGTGCGAGACAATAGAAAAATAGATGCATTTTAATAAAAGTCTTCCCTGATGATGGAAAAAAAACACATCGATTTGGAGATATTAAGGCTACTGTGATCACCTAGTCTGACCTCACGGATAGCACAGGCTGGAAAATTTCACCCAGGGATTCCTGTGTCAAGCTCAGTCACATTATAGCTGGCTTGGAGCATATCTTTTGAAGTTATTATCCAGAACAGGACTTCCCAACTTCTTCGTGGCCAGGTGCTGCACACCCCAGAGGCCACCCCAGCGTTCACCTCCATGACTGCAAGCTCCACCGGCACCATGTGGGTGGGTGGCTCCAGCCCCCCGTGCTGCACCAAGTGCCCAGGTGGGCCTTTCCCCTCCACCTCCCCTACTGCCGCACTGTGTGGGTAGGTGGGCAGGTGGCCATCCCCTCCTTCCCCCCTGCCCCACAACACCTCCTTGGCTGCAGGCTCCCTCTTTGTACTGGACTGCAGGCTGTGCTGCCCTGCCTCCTGGAGAGAGAAGGGTGGGGGAGAGCCTGCAAAACCTGGCTGCAACATCAGCTGGACTAGGAGGGGAGCAGCAGCCAGGGGGGTGCCCAGGGGCCACAGCTTAAGTTTCCTCCACATCCAAACCACCAGTGAGATGGCCCTGATCTAGGAAACCATCATATCTGGGGTTGTTTGGAGGTCTTGTTCAATCACTACATGTAAGACACCTGCCAAGGGAGGTAGTGATGCGTTTCCATCTGACATGTCATCAGCATGCAGATAGTGCTAGGCTCTCCATCCCTTTGCCTTCTGCCCTCGGAGAGGCAGTATTTATGCTTTTCCCAGACCTGAATGATATAGGGCTAGACTTTACACATCAGCTGGTTTAAGTGATCAGAAACTGGTTTAAACCAGCTGTTCAGCTTGGAAATGGCTTGAGATAAACCTGGCTGAATGCAGTATCAGACTGAACGGATTTGGCTCCAACCAGTTTATGCAATGTCTGTCCCAGACCTAGGGGTCAAATGAGAGCGAGCAAATTGAAACCAGAGCAAAAGCCAACAGGCAGAAAGAAACCTCTGGAGGATTTCGGCGCCGACCCCCACTCTGTTTTGGTGCAGGATTACTCCTGTCAATGAGGATCAGAAATTCATAGTTGGCTTTTAGCTGCTTGTGGAAGCTCAGGCATCAATAGAGCTTCTCATAGCTATGTGGATACTAGGAGCCCTGCAACAAATGGGTCCTGAGCTCTTGAGTTGTTGCAGATGGCCAACCTAGGGGACTGTGCGGTTCAGTGGGGTAGGAATCAGGAGATGTAGGGCCTCTTTCCAGCTCTGCTACTGATCTGCTGCATGACCCTAAGCAAGTCACTTCATCTTGGGAATGTCTCTTTGGCTTGAGAGCCTGGCAAAGCAGGGAAGGGCTCTACTCCTGTGCATACAGGGCCTGGCACCAGGGACTTTCAGTCCGTACTGGGCCCTCTGGTCATCATTGTTTCATAATTCCTATGAATATAGCTCACTTTAGATAGTCCATCCAGACAAACACAATAGAAAAGATGATGGGTGTGGGCCAGACATTCCTCAGTAACACCAAATGCACTCAGCTTCCCCAGCCTAAGAAGTGTTACGTTGGCTATGTCCATTTTATGCCTTTTATTGTGACGAGGGAGTGAAGGAAGCCAAAACAGATTTGAGCTGAGCACTTGCCCGTAAAGACTAGCTGGAGCCGGTGACGGGAGAGAAGTTGAGGGAAGTTTGGCTTGGGCTGATGTGGGCCAAAAGGCTGCTCACGTGACTCAGTGAACGTTGTTGTCTGGCTCATCGTACCACTCCTCCTTGTCTGCATCTTGGTCATCTCCAGGCTGTCCCTCAACATACTCCTCTTCGTGCCTCTCTTCTGTTTCCCCACCCTCGTTGTTGGGCTCTTCTTCCTCACGGTTGCCTTCCTCTTCCCTCGCCGGCTCCTGTGGGCCTCTCCCTCTGTCCAGGTTGATATCCTGAGCTTCAGTAGTCACTTGCTGTTTGCAAAAAGGGCAAGATTTATTCCTGGGCTGGGTGTGAAGCCATGTGTCTATGCACGCACAATGGTAGGCATGAGAACAAGGGAGGATCTTCAGCTGGTCTCCTTCTTCATACTCGGCCATGCAGATCACGCATGTCTCATACCTGTCTCCCCTTTTGAATGTGTGCATTGTTATCTTCTGGGCTTTCTTGTACCATCTTGCGCATACCACAAGTGGTATAGTGCAAACGACCACGTTGATCATGAACCCAAACTCCTGGATGACGTAAGAAATGATATGGTGTGACAGATAGCTGGACAGGACCGGCCAGAACTGTCTAAAGCTTTCCAAGAGCTTATCTCTGTTTTGGCAAGAATTAAGACAAGGTTTGGACGCCACAAGGGTGACGCGAGTCCCTTTCTCATAACGCAAAGCCCTTCTCAGATAGAGGTACGCTGATTGTCCTACGAAGACCGAAGGTATTACAATCTGCTGTTGGATTTCTTTATCATCAGTCAACATATTCACCAGCTCTTCCGAATTCACATTGTGCACAATGGCAGCATGGTACCCAGCTTGCTGGGCATGGAGGACCTTAACCCCAAAGGGGCACTCAGCCCTACGGATGAGCGCAATGAAAGTCTCAGAGGAGTTGCTGGACGGGGGTGGACTTGCTATGGGGTCACATCCATTAGGCGGTGTCACCTCGGTTAAATATCCCGTCAGCTCTTCTGTGGGCAGAGGCATCCCGAAGCACGCAGGCAGCGCGTTAAAACCTACGCAGGTAGAGTTGTGGTTGTAAACCACGAGACACGAGGCTTCTGTAAAAGCAGTTTCATAAATCAAGAATGTGGTGACCACGCAGAAAGGAAGATGGAGTGGAGGCCTCATGCTGACAGCTGCTGGATATCTCGGCATATGCCGGCTGGCTTGGCCAACAGGATTGCTAGTGGCTGTGGAAGACCTTAGGAAGCAATCAGCAACTTAGCTCATCAGAGCAGTATTAACATGACAATCCTGGAGCTGTCTCAGCAGACAGCGGTGGCAGCAGGCAGGTAAGTATTCCCCACCTCTTGTCTTGAAGATGCTGCTACCAGCTTGCTCCTTGTTCACCATGCTGGCCTTGGGGCTCCCAAGGTTTCACCTCTGTTTCTCACTAGTATCCAGCTGCTAAGCAACCTTTCCTAACCATCAGCTCGAGCCTTTGTGACATCACCCAATGACAGCTATATTTGCCGGGGACTGGGTCCCTGCAACATGACTGCCCATCTGCAATGCACTTTTCCCCACCCTCCATGTTTCTTTTTCATTTGTCCATCCCTCCGGCTCCCGCCCCAGGCTGCTTGGGTTCAGCTCTGCCTCACTCCACCCTCCGATAGGATGCTTCCATCTCCTGCTGCAATCAAGGGGAGTTACTCATCTCCTGCAGGGAGATAAAAATCCCCCTTGTCTTGAGAATATTTCCACTGCAAACTAAAATCCTTCTCATCAGACATGATTCCTGGAAAACATTGCATAGTAGGAATGATCTTTAGGATCATCCTCTCCCACCTAGGTAGGGAAGTGCCAGCTCAGGTTGGCTGTGTTTTGTTTTTTTTAAAACAATGTTTTTCTATTTATAAGGGTGGTACTTCTGATGTCACGGCACCCAGAGTTGCTCAGATTAGAGCATTTTGTAATTTGCAATAGATGTTTAATACTCAAGTAAATCACAGTTCAATGTATAAAGAGAAGGATGTGAAGTTCCACCCATCCATATGCACAGGGTGAGGCCGGCACAGTGCTATCGGCCATATTTTCAAGAGAATGCAGATTCCATTTAAGGCCAACTTAAAGAGTTGGAAAAAATTCCTCTTTGCAAGCTTTCGGGCACAAACACCCTTCGTCAGGCTGAGGAAGCATCTGCGGATGGTCTGTGCTCCTTGTGCACTGAGTGGGAAAGCAGCCAGCGCCCAGTACGTATGCGAGACAGCCAGTCAGTTCAAATGTAATAGGTACTGGGCGCTGGCTGCTTTCCCACTCCATCCAGGAAGAGCACAGACCATCCGCAGATGCTTCCTCAGCCTGATGAAGGATGTTTGCACCCAAAAGCTTGCTAAGAAGAATTTTCCAACAATTTGAGTCGGTCTAATAAAAGATATCGGATTTACCCAAAGCACCTTGTCTGCCCATGTTCTTAGACCCACACGACTACAACCTACACCCTGACTCCATTTAAGGCAGATTCTCAAAAGAGTTCAGTGCATTGGGTTCATGTTGGGCTGAGCGCGTTCAAAATCCCGGTGGTGTAACAGTGGGAGAGCAGTGGGTGGTGGAGTTCAAAAGATCTAGCCTCCTGTTGCCAGTTTTCATGATTTTCTTGGAAATCTCAGGATTTCTCTGAACTTTAGCTTAAAGTTTAAACTCCAGCTTCTGGAGACCAATGATTAATGGCAAACCTTGGTTTTTGTGACAATAAAGGGAAAGTACATTTCTAGCCCTTGTGCTCGCACAGGAAAGCTTGAAAATTTGAGATGATCATGCTTGGACACCAGAAGGAACTTACAAAGGCCCCATGATCCCTTATTCAGAAAAATCTCAGGATTAGGAAGAAAGTTTCACGATTTTAGCATCTGAATTCATGAATTTTGAATGATCGGGGCAGGTGGCACTGCCTGCCCAGTTGAGAGCGCTGGGGGCGCTTAAAACTCCAGCTTTGAATATGTGACTATACGTCTGGATTATCAGAGGTCCTGAGTCTGCAGTTGCTTCTAATTTCAACAGGGAGTGTTGTGCTGAGCCTCTCTGACGCTCGGTCCCTAAAACCCGACCCTTGAATAGGCAACCCCTTGTTTAATTAATCATTCACCTTAAAGTACCCTCAAGGTTTTACAGTACAGTTTTGTTGGACTGGTAGTTCAAGACTCAATGTTAGGCAGCTGATTGCTTCTAACCCCATGGGCTCTGCTTGAGACCAATTTCACTGCATATATTTTCCTCCCGGAAAGAAGTAGTACAATGTCAGTGGGCAGTGTGTGCGCGCGTGGGCGTGTGCGCCAGAGACTTCCAGCAGATGTGATTTCAAATTGGTTTTATTTCCCTTGTCTAAAAAGTTTGACACTTTCAGTGAGACAGTCTGAGGCTTTCAAAAGTGGTAAATACTTCCCACCAAGTGTGTCTAGTGCAAGAGGCAAAACGGAAAAGGCAGATGCGCTTTGCTTTGGGCACAACTGTGTAGGTCTCACTTTTGTTTTGATCTCAGCCATCCTCTTCCTGTCTTCGTTGCCTTTGACATCTTGTTCTCAGGTCCCATTGCTGCTTCCAAGTCAAATCCCTACATTATAAGTCACCAGCTGTTTGCATATCGGACAGGTCTTATTTTGTCGCTGGGTGAGAAGCCACGTGTCAATGCACGCGCCGTGATAGGCGTGAGAACAAGGGAGGATCTTCATCCGGTCTCCTTCCTCGTACTCTGCCATGCAGATCACACACGGATCATACTTCTCTCCACTTTTGAACTGATGCACTTTTATCATCTCCCGGCTCTTTCTACACCATCTCATGCATCCCACGATGACCAGGGTGCTGATGATCACACCCAGCACCAGGCAAAACTCCCGGAGGAAAAGCAAGAGCGTGTGTTTGGAGCAGTAGCCAAATTGGAGATCCCAGTAGTACTGAGCAGTGTCCCAGATGGAGAACCTGTTATTGCTCCAGCAGGGGTTTCGATAATATTCAGGTACCACCAGCGTGACACGAGCAACTTTTTCTGAACCCAGAACGCGTCTAAGCAGCTTGGCGGCTGATTCCCCAGTAAAGACAGAAGGAATCCCAATCTGCCGCCGGATTTCTTCAACATTAGTTACCATAGTCACCAGCTTCTCTGAGTCCACATTATGTATGATAGCAGCTCGATAGCCGGCTTTCTGAGCATGAAGGATCTTAACACCGAAGGGGCAGTCGTAGCGACGGATGAGCGCAATGAAGGCCCTGGAGGAGTTGGCGGATGGCGGTGGGCCCCCGATAGGGTGGCATGCATTTGCAGGCACTGCCTCCATCAGGTAGCCCCTGAGTCCCTCTCTTGGCAGCGGTGACCCGAGGCATGCAGAGAGCGCTCCGAAGTCTTTGCAGGTGGAGTTGTAGCGGTAGACCACATACACGAAGATTTCCGCCACGGCTGTGTCTATGAGCAGGAGGAGAATGACCACGGAGAGAGGAGTCCTTTGCAGAAGCCACATTGTGAGAGCAAGGGGGGATTTCTCTAGGTGTGTCCTATCTAATCAGAAGAATTGGCTTGAGAGGAATCAATGCAGACGGCTCAATTCATCCTTTCCAGGCAGTAACAGTGGGACTGGACAGGATGTCGCATCCCAGTCCCTTTCTTTAGAGGTATTCCCAGCTGCTTCTTTCACTACATGCTCCAGTCTGATGGTTCCCAGGTTTCTCGCTACCGTCATGCAGTCGCCCAGGTCTTTGTGACATCACTCACCGATTACATTTAAGACCAACTCAAATAGTTGGAAAAATTCTTGTTAGCAAGCTTTCGGGCCCAAAAGCGTGACATCCCCAGGATGCGATCCCAGAGCTTGTAGGAGAGAGGGAGGGAGGAAAGGAAGGAAGAGACAAGAGGGACCTTTGGAAGTGGAGGAAGAAAAGAACCAGTGAGAGGCAAAGAATGGACTGGTCAGCCCAGAAACCAGTAGCAGGTCTGCAATCCTTAGCTCTAAACCAGTGGTTTTCCACCTTTAATCATTCGCAGACCCCCTAAAAAATATCAAATGGTGGTGCAGCCCCTTTGAATTGTAAGTGTGGGTATTTGCATACTTTTGATTGATCGTAGTCATCTTTTGTGGGCCCCTTAGACATAGTCTGTGGACCCCCCGAGGTCTGTGGACACAGGTAGAAAACTGCTGCTTTAGAAACTATCAGGAAGTAGCTAGAATTAGGACTTGCTCCCAGGCAAGAGAGAGAGAGATGGTCACGTCCAAAGGCATGGCAGTGAGCACGCAGACACCCAGATCTCCTTGTGTGAACTTTCCAAGGACTAGGTAGGCCTCCAGACCTATGCAGTTTATTCCCAAATGTGACAGTCCCTTCATATTTTCTAGGAACTTCGCAATTTTGTGAATCTTCTGACAAGTTGTTACCACGGCTGGGGCCCTGATGCCAACATTGTCGATGTATATTAATGTCATCATATGTTAATGCATTGTGAGGCTTTGGTCCATGTCAGGGACCTCTTGGCGCTGGAGGCTTATACAGGCAACCATTAGAGCAAGAGACCATTTTGAACAGCTACCACTCGGGCTCTCTAGTGCGTCTGTGAACAGATCTACAGGGGCCTTTGAACCTGGAGTGACAGCCAAGGCAGAGGGGTCTGGAAAGATCAGGGGAGATGCATTCCTAGTATAATCCTGCAGCCAAGGAGGAAAATACACAGCACAGACACTCAACAGTCAGATGCAACCATCACATTTGAAGGAGTTCAGTTTTACTTTGGTTTCCTTAGTATGGTCCTACATGGGAAAGGGTTATGTATCCAAGCACTAGAGTTGCTACCAGGAAGGTGTGCATGTCAGATCTGGAATTAGGTCCATGAGAAGATTTGTCTGTCAGAGGTGCCATTATTTATGACTTGACAGCAATGCACAGAGGCCCTGAATGAAGTCACAGCCCAGGCAGGCATAAAATGAGAAGCAGTTAGTGTCTGAATAATGCTTGGATCCAGCATAGACCAAGGCCTGGAGAAGAAGCAGAACTTAAATGACTTGCCCACGGGTGCAGAACAAGTCAGTGGCAGAGGTAGAGCAGAACCTGCATCTCCAGGGCCCCGAGCCTGTGTCCTCACCCCCGGATCGCACTCTTTCTTATGCAGAACTGGTCTCTAATATATAGCTATATAGATCTATATCTATATCTAGCTGTATTTATATACCTATAGATAAAGATATTCTGGGCTTCAAGGCTTACTAAGTTCCACTTCTGTGACAGCATCAATAGCAGCAACTCCTGCAGGCAGGCTGATTCAGCAGGTTGGAGGTTGGTCATCATTGCCATTAGCAGAAGGAGCTGGAGCAAAAGGTCTAGTGGGCATGGAATATAACTGATGAGAAGGTCTGGGAGCAGAAAGAGGCGCTGTTTAGAGGAAATGGATGAAAGAACATGG